TGGGCGACAGAGTGAGACTCCATCTCAAAAAAAAAAAAAAAAAAGAGATTATGTTAATAATATTTATAATCATAACATTAATTTTTTTGAGACAGTGTCTCTGTCACCCAGGCTGGAGTGCAGTGACATGACCATGGCTTCCACAGCCTCCAACTCCTGGGCTCAAATGATCCTCCTGCCTCAGCCTTCAGAGTAACTGGGATGACAGGCGTGTGCCATCATGCCTGGCTAATTTTTTCTATTTTTTGGAGAGACAAGGTCTTGCTTTATTACCCAGGCTGATCTTGAACTCCTGGCCTCAACGATCCTCTTGCCTCTACCTCCCAAAGTGCTGGGATTAGAGGTGTGAGCCTCTGCTCCTGGCAGCATCAATAACTTATATTGAGCACACTTGCTATGTTTCAGGCACTTGCCTATAATTTTACATACATTACCTTATTTATTTACATTTTACAGTTAGTCTGAGAGGTTACACAGCCTAAGATCAGTTATATAGCTAGCCTAAGATTAGTTGTACATACAAGAAATCACTGCCAAATCCATTGTCATGAGGCTTTTCCCCTGTGTATGGAGGGTTCACAAGTGACAAAGTGAACTTTAGAGAGACTCGGCCCCAGTGCCAGCCTACAAGGTCAGTTCTTTCCCTTCAGGCTGGATTCATGAACGATGGCAGGATCCTGGCCTTGGATGTGGAGCATTATAGCAACGGAGGTGCCTCCCTGGATGAGTCGTTACTTGTAAGTGTTTTGAGGAGTAAGTTCACATTCCTGAGTGAGTGTTTAACTCAAAGAATGTTCAAGAGTTAAATAATATCTCATTGTAAAAGCATGACAACCATCATGCTGCCCACACATGTGCCCAGGGATCTTGGTCAAGCCTGTATATGTGTTATGTTCACACTTGACACACGTAGAGCTTATGTCCCAGATGGACGCGTTAGGCAGGCTTTCTCGTTTTGGCCTTGTTGACACATGGGACTGGGTCACTGTGGAGGCGCAGTCCTGGGCACTGATGGATGGTTAACAGCATCCCTGGCCTCTACCCAGTAGATGTCAGTGTCACTGCCAACCTCCCAGTCTTAACAACAAAATATGTCCCTGACATCGCCAAATGTCCCTGGGAGCTGAGGAGGAATCGCGCCTGGTTGAGAACTAATGCGTTAGACCTGATGCCAAAACATTTTTTTCTTCCTCTGTTTCCCAGGCTATTATATTCATTACTTTCTGTAGACCCAGTGCTTAGGGCCTGTGGTCACTTCAAAAGTTTTTGTAAATGTTTGAAATCTGAAAAAAAAATTACATTAACTCTAAAACATGAAAATAAAAAATAGTATCTCAAAAAATTATTCATATATTTTAAAATTATTTTACAACAAAAAATGCATTTAATTGGGGGCGTGGGTACATTATAGCATGTCTGATGTGTCTGTTCCTGGTCTGGTTTTGGAATGGTGAGGGCCAGGGTCTTATCGCTTCAACTCTGGATTTCTCCAGGTGATAGAGATGGGACTTCTGAAACTGGACAATGCTTACAAGTTCCCCAACCTGCGCAGCCGGGCATGGGCATGCAGAACCAACCTTCCTTCAAACACAGCTTTTCGTGGATTCGGTTTTCCCCAGGTGGGGCTGATCACTGAGGCCTGCATCACGGAGGTGGCAGCCAGGTGTGGCTTGTCCCCAGAGCAGGTAACACTGAATAAGCCTCACATACAAAACATGTGGAAGTGCAGAGGTGGGAGGGCCTTTGAGGGTCATTCAGGCTAAGGAATTTGAGACCCAGAGGGGTACATGATTTGCCCCAGGGAACCCAGCTAACTGGTTAATACAGTCAGGACTCCAAGGTTCAATGCTGCTTGTCTTACTTGGCTTTTTCCTCAGAAATCCTGGGAAACAGGATATTGAGGAGTGGGCACTGGATTCTCACCTGGTTAGTGAGATGCTTCTGTTGGTTGGAGGCACTACCAACAATTCCGTCAAGCTCTCTCCCCCATCCCCACCCCCATTTCCTGCTTCCTTAATGTCTCAGCTAGCTGCACCAATTTTGTCACCTCAGTTGCTCAAATGGCCCCCTTTCCATTTTTTTTAAGTCTCATACATTAACAAAGACCTTCTTCTTCCTGGCAATGTTTCCACCATGGGTCCTGGAGTGGAGTTGGGGTTGGGAGATGTGGGAAGTTCTCCTTAGCACCTTCTCTACCCTGTGCCTTCTGCTGTGACATTGGCGCAGGGAGGAAGAAGAGGACAACCAGGGAACACAGACAGCTTCCTCATGTGACCTCTCTTTGGTCAGATGTACCCACTCCTGGAGAATGCTGCCTGTGCCACTACCTGCCATTTCACCTACTTGACAGTCCCTGTGAGAGTCCATCAACTCTCTAGCTGACCTTCAGCGGGCACCACATGCGGCCTTGGGCAGGTGACCACACCTCTCCGTCCATGCCCCGCAGTCCTTAGACTACCCCAGGCCACAGGCAGGAGCCATCTTGTTTATGTCTCTTGGACTTGGAGAGAAGGCCTTGCTCCTCCTTCCCGGCCATCCCACCAGACTCTCTCCTGAGTCTGGCACATTGGTTGGCATTAGGGGAGATAATCACTTGAAGACCTCCCTTCATTTCCGGGAAGCTGGCAGAAAGGACAGCCTCTTAAAAACACTATTTTCAGCCGGGTGCCAATGGCTCATGTCTGTAATCTCAGTACTTTGAGAGGCCAAGGCGAGAAGATTGCCTGAGCCCAGGAGTTCAAGCCTGAGCAACATGTCAAGACCTCGTCTGTACAATAAAATTTTTTAAAAACTGGATGTGGTGGCATGTGCCTGTAGTCCCAGCTACTCAGGAGGCTGAGGTAGAAGCATCGCCTGAGCCCAACAAGTTGAGGCTTTGTTGGCTATGATTGTATCACTGCATTCCAGCACTCCGGTGGGTGACAGAGTGAGACTCCAACTCAAAAACAAACAAACAAACAAAAAATACTGTTTTCCCTAAAATGGCACAGTCCACTCATTTCTAGTCTTTCTCTCATAACGATCTGAGAATTTTTTAGGACAGGGTGAGGAGAGCGTGCAGGTCTGTAGTGACCCCATCAGCTTAGGGAGGAAAGTTTCTCAGCTGAGAACATGAGCTACTTGACACCTTTTCTTTCCAGCTAGGGGTCTTAGTCACCAATTCTGGGAATACAGGGATAATTCTGCTCAGTGCTTCAGACGTCTGGGATAGAATCTTTTCTTCTGTTCTTTATCTATCAGCGATTTTTGTTTATTTATTTTTAATAGAAAGAAGGTCTCAGTATGTTGCCCAGGCTGGTCTCGAACTCCTGAGTCCTAGCACTCCTACCTCAGCCTCCCAAAGTGCTGGGATTACAGGCATGAGCCACCACGCCTAGCCTCTTGTTCTTTATCTAGATATTGGTTATACATAAACACGCTTTTGTATATGCCTGTCTTGGAAGTGGTGGGTCTTATCCTGCTGCAGCCCCTGAGTAATCCCAGTCATGCAACCTGGATGACCTTTCAGCAGATGTTCACAGACGCCACTGGAATTAAGAGTCTCTGGCATGCCTAGGCTGTGTTGAGTTATATTGGGAGATGAGGGAAGGATACCTGCTTTTGGACTTGCTCGAGAGCAGCACAGGAAGTGTATCAGTAAGTACTAGCAGGTTTGATACAGTCTTCAAGCAGAGGAAGAGAAGCTTCAGGAAAGGCTTCCACAAGGACTATGTGAAGCTCAGCTTGGACTTTGTGGGATGGGCAGAGCTTAGCTAGGAGGATGGTGGATGGATGCACTTACTTTTGCTGGGTTTCCCCTGTCCCCTTTAATCCCCTTTTCTCTCATAGGTCCGAATGATAAACATGTACAAGGAAATTGATCAGACACCCTACAAACAAGAGATTGATGCCAAGAAACTGCACCAGTGTTGGAAAGACTGCATGGCCATGGCTTCCTACTCCCTGAGGAGAGTGGCTGTGGACAAATTCAATGCAGAGAATTCCTGGAAGAAGAAAGGGCTGGCCGTAGTCCCCCTCAAGTTCCCTGTTGGTCTTGGCTCACTTGCTGCTGGTCAGGTCAGTTCTCCAAACATACATGGGGTTGCTGCCCAGAAGGGGTGTCAAGGAAACTTTTTCTTAAGTCCGATGAGCCAGTGGTTGCAATGCCTGATTGTTAGACTTCACCATAGTCATGCTTAATCCAGCCAGCTTCACTCCAGAGGGGACCAGAGCCCCTCTGTCCATATCCCAAGCTGGTGAAAGCCACTCTTGCTAGGAAATTGGAAGACCTGAGATTTACTCCTGGCCCTGGGAGTTAGCCACTGAACCAACTATCTCGGCCCCAGATGGCTCAAGTGAAAAGTAAGATTGTGGGACTGGTGACTTCCAAGGCCTTCTTCCTGCTACTCTGATTCTGTGTCACTGGACCATGAAATAAACACAGAGGCTGTGAGGTGTTTGGTGCCCACTCTTTTGGGATGGGTTAGAGCAAACGAAATCCAGAAAAGTAAATTACATAAATAACTTTTTATATACAATTTCCAGAGTCTGTTCACTTTATCACTGTTAAAAGTGTGAAGGGGAAGCCGGGCTCGGTGGCTCAGCCTGTAATCCCGCGCCTTTGGGAGGCTGAGGT